GCGCACTACCGCAAGCAATCTGTCAACTTCATCCAGGCTGAGCGGGCAAAAACTTACTAAACCCGACTCCAAAGTCGTGCAAGGGGCCTCAAGTTCACTCACTGTATCAATCGTAGCAGGGAGGTCACGGCGGAGCGCTAAGACTTTCTCTGCAAAATAGCTCGCAAATGCCTCACAGCTGATGTTCAATTCCCTCACATTTTGCCTGCCCTGTGGCAGAGTTGTCAATGACTGAATCGTACTAAATAATTGTGCCGGGCGTGAGCTAGCAGATGCAATCCTGGCCGCGAAGAACTCCCTCTTCGCGGCCTTGACTGCCATCTCATAGGCCTTCATAAACATCCTATAAGATGCTTTTGACGCTTCGTCGCGAGCGCGGCGCCACCGTCTCTCAAAAGCTTTTGATAACATCAACTTAAAATATCTGGAAACCATAATAAAACTAATGGGGTTTGGTAACAATTTTCAAAGAACAATATAGGCACTATATACCAACCCAAGTGCTACCCTAAAACTAAACAACCAAATTTCTAACAATATTCAATTACAGCGAGGTACAAGGCAGGGTTGCCTCCTGTCACCTTTGCTTTTTATTTTGGCTATGGAACCTCTGGCAGAGATTATACGTAAAACTGAAGACATAAAGAGCATAAGAATAGACAATCAAGTATATAAGCTTTCCTTATATGCAGATGACTTAATATTATATATAACAAACTCCATGCAATCATAGCCTGCCGTCCCAGCTGGAGGCCGTATCAGGCTGGGCATTGGAGCACCCTCGGCTGTTGGTCATGGGTGATTTCAACGTCCATGCCGAGGACACGACCTCCAGTCGGGCTGCGGACCTGGTGTCGTCCATGGCGGCACTGGGACTCTCTCAGGTTATCACGGTCCCCACGCATCATGCCGGTCATACGCTCGACTTGATCTTCGCGGCTGGGGTAATGGTGGACCGGATTGCCACAATAGCGGTACCATGGTCGGACCACCAGGCCCTGAAGGCTCGTCTCTCTAGTCGTCTTAGTTCTCGCTTCAGCTGTCGCAACTCCTGGGTATATCAGGGCGCCCGCCTCGTGCGAGTCCAGAGAGGACGCCTGGGAGCAATCTCGTCGATGGCCGCAGAGAGCCGGTCATGCCATTCCTCCACTAGCTCATCTAACAAGCTGCCAGGGGGCTTCAGTTCCCGCAACGCCATCTGAAGCCGCATCGGGTCCATTTGGCCTCGCGGGCGAGCAAAAATCCGCTTGCCGCCTAAGCGGGGTCGGGGTGGCACATTCATTTTTTTGCATTTCAGTTTCATGTCCATTTCCCTTTGTTGTTTTGGATCTATCTAAACCAGTGTGCATTAAAAAATTGAAGTCTCCCCCCAACAACACATTTCCTTCACTAAAAGTATTCAGTTTCTCTGGTGTGTTTTTAACAAATTGAATTTGATTCACGTTCGGTGTGTACAGGGATCCCAACGTAGTCAAAGTACCATTCAATTCCCCCTTTATAAAAACAAACCTGCCTGATTGATCTGCCAATGATTCTTTGCAATTAAAGAGCAGTCTTTGCTATTAAGATTGCAGTGCCTCTAGATTTTGATGTCCCTGGTGAAGTATATTGTTTATCATACCATGTTGTTGCTAGTATTCTTTATTAAAGTGAGTCGCTTGTAAAAAGACTATTTCTGGCTTGGATTTTAAAATCTGTGTCATAATTCGCTTATGTTTAATTTTGTTATTTATTCCCCTCACGTTCCAAGACAAGACTTTATACATTCTCAATTTAAGTTTTTTAGTATCTCCAAAATAAACTGTATATTACTATACCAACCGCTAATGTTTCACTTTTAGCACTTTCTTATCTATTAGTCCCTTTCTCTTCTACTAACTCTGTAACCTTTCTTTAACCTTTCTAACCTCTATGAACTGTATCAACTAACTTCTTAAATTCACTATAGTATTATTTCTACCTTTTGGGCTTTCCTATCTTAGCCCTTTTACTGTCCTGTCAAAATTTTCTAGATGTTTTTCTTTACTTGGAGTTAACTTCTTTACTCAATCCCCTTCCCCTTTCCCCCCTCCCTCTGAGTGTTTTAAGAAAAACATTTGTTGCAATAAAGTTTAGTTATACAATTATGCTCCTTAAAATTTGCTTTATCTAAACCAAAGCTTGTAGCAATAACTTCTATACCTATATATATGCAGTTAACATTATATTTGTCTGAGCGTTTATTTTACATTGCTGTTTTGTTAGTAGAGATTCTCACTGGTACTTTGCTGGCTTTTATCGGTGTAAGAGTCATAGAGAGTCTCCTTTTTGCAGATTTCTTTTGCTGATTCTGATACTGGAGCAAGGTTTAACATTTGCAGGAGTCAAATTCCACTTTCCTCATCAGAGGAAAGCTTGCCTTGGTGTTTCACTGTTAGTTTTCCTGGAGTGCTCCATCTATAAAATATCTTTTCCTCTCTTAGTTTTTGAGTAACTGTTTTCAGTTTCTGGCGGATCTGCAAGGCTTCCGATGGTAAGTCTGGGAAGACTAGTATTTGTTGCTCATTATATCTTAGGTGTCCTTTTTCTCTTGCAATATTCTGAACTGTTGTTTTAACTCTCAAGTCAGGAAAAGCAACTGATATGTCTCTTGGGAACTTCCTGTTTGGGTTGTTTAAGGTCCCGATTCTATGTGCCTTCAATAGGATTGGATAAACTCCTCCTTCGCATTGTAAGATCCCTGCTAGCCACATGCTCATGGATTTCAGCAGGTCTGGGGCTTCATCTTTGTCTTCTTGAAGTCCCCTAAATTTCAGGTTCTGTCTTCTGGCCGACGCCTCTAAAATTAAAATTGTTTCTTTCATGTTGTCATTGTCTTTTTGCAGTTGTTGATTTTCCGTTTGTAGTGTCTGTCCCAGCGTTGAAGCTGTTTCCGCATTATTTGTTGTCTCTTGCCAGTGTTTTCTCGATCTCTTTGATTTGTTCCACCAGCGGTTGTAAGATTTCGTTTAGTCGCACATTAAGGTTTTCTAAAATGGATTGTTCAGTCTTTTGCAGTGCAGATTTCAAAGCTGCCTGTAGGGTTTTAACTGTAACCGGCTCATTGCTTTGGTGTTTTTTCTTCGTCGTGCTGTGGTCGGACGCCATTTTGATTTGGCGTAGAAGCTTCCCAGCGGGCTCCTTCATCTGTGTGGGCAAAGTTAGGGCTTGTAAAAAGTTTTTAATATTACCTTTCGCCACTATTTTAGATCGCCCAGACTTTCGCATGTCCTGTAAGGCGTTTTCTGCTTAGTATTGGGTCGCTTTGGCTGAGGGAGGGAGGGTTGGGTCTGGAGCAAGCAGATTAGGCATCCGCCATCTTCCGCGCTAATGCTTAATGTATGCTTATTTTATAACATTTTTGCTGTGAAGAAGAGGCATGTGATCTCTGCAGACACAAATTCAGTTTTGAGAACTGTAAATCCAAGCATCTGTGATAATATCTTCTAGACAGAAAAATTGCCCAATAATCTTACAGAAACCTCTGGAAGAGCATGGCATTGTGAATGGATTAATGGGATTCATTTACCAAAAAAATTAAACATTGCATGAATATACAGCCTCATGCTACATAATTAAAAACTATTCCTTATTTATCTTAAACAGAAAAATGTATTTAGGTAGATTTTTCCTCAAAAAGCATTTTATTAAAAGAATCCAATTTAAATTTAAAAATCCATTTTTTATTTTTTTAAAAATCATTTATTTCTGTCCACCCTGTTTCAAAGAGAGACTGAAGGGATCCAGTCTCAAAGTTTGGTTTGTGTGTATGCAGGTTAAAACCAGTGAATATGTGAAGGTAGGATTTGTGTCTCCAGAGTGTTAAGTGAGGGAGAACCTTTCTTAGGTGCAGGGGTCATTTGGGGCCGGAGCACACCGGAGCACTGCTCCGGCAGCCCAGGAGCTGGCACAAATGGTGGTGGCGGTAAGCCCCAGCTCCCAGCGCCAAAGCGCTGTGGCCTGGGGGAGGCCTGAAGAGGCCTGTTGCTGGCCTGCCAGGGCCCACGCTGGAGCGCTGCAGATTGGGGGAGGCCTGAGGAGGCCCGTTGCCAGCCTCCTGGGGCCCGCACTGTAGCGCTGTAGAATGGAGGAGGCCTGAGGAGGCCCATTGCTGGCCTCCTGGGGCCCGCATTACAGTGCTCCGGCCCGGGGGAGACCTGAGGAGGCTCGTTGCCGGCCTCCCAGGGTCCGTCCTTTTCTTTCTCTCTTTCCTTTTCTTCCTTCCCTCCTTTCTCTCTTTTTCTCCTTCTTTCCTTCTCTCTCTTTCTTTCTTTCCCTTATGCTAATGAGCTCCTGAAGCTCTTTTTCTACAAAATGACCCCTGCTTAGGAGACTATATAAGTCTCAAGAGTCTGACTTTTATGGACAAGCAGGCTAGTATAGCAAATGCTTTGGGAAGAGACTGTGGTGGTCCCCGAACCCAGTTTCTGAGGGAAACTGGATGATAATTTATAGCAACTGAAGGGAGTTCACATTTACCCTGTGAGACTGCTGAAAGTGAAGAAAGGCCTGTCTTTACCCCAAGAATAAAAGCATGGCTGTTAACTGTTCTGTGTATCCCAGGATTAACATCTGAAACTTTATAAGTCACTATGCCTAGGTTCATAACTGAACCTCGTTATTTCTACTATCCCTAGTAGTCAATAGCAGTCCCCCCCCCCGTTTTCCTTATATAACTGTATTGAGAAGGCTGCTTGGGTTCAGTCTGTCAGTAGAAGGTTGGGGTAGAGACCACATACTGACTTACCTCAGGCCATCTGTGGCTTTGAGATTTGGCCTTTGCCATCTGTGACTCAAGTTCAACACATTTGCTGTGTATACCATGAATAAACATTTTGTGGGACATTCTGAGAAACATATATGGATTTTCTCTGATATCACAATAGACTCCTAGTGTGCATCCTAATGTTTCACATAATTTATATATTGCTGTCTGATTTCAGTTTTCAAGCTAACTTGGAACAATTTTTATGCTTCTTCAGGCATTAAATGTTGTCTTTGGAAACCCCCTGGAGAGTGAAGGTGAAGGCACCACTCAGAATATCCAGGTTGATGTACTGGATTGTGACACAATAGGACAGGCTAAAGAGAAGATCCTGCACACCTTTCAAAACAAAAATGGATCTCTTTATGGTCTCCAGCTCAACGAAATGGGCCTTGGTAAGTGCTACTATAATCCTATATTTTCATATTTCATTATGTGTGTGTGTGTGTTTGTGTTTGTCACAATTTCCTGTTTAGAGTTAGTTCAGGTCTTATGCTAAATATGGTTTTGAGATACATGACTTAAGCCTCTAGCTCATATGCCTTCTCTTCCTCCTCCCCTTGCCTTGTGTGCTGTGATTCCATTTCTGTTTAACACAAACTACAATTTGTCATTAGAGTTGCCAGGTCTGGGTTGGAAAATGCCTGGACACTTTGGAGGTGGAGCCAGGAGAGGGAGGGGTTTGGGAGGGGAGGGGCCTCAGCATAGTACAATGCCATAGAGTCCACCCTTTCTGTTTAACACAAACTACAATTTGTCATTAGAGTTGCCAGGTCTGGGTTGGAAAATGCCTGGACACTTTGGAGGTGGAGCCAGGAGAGGGAGGGGTTTGGGAGGGGAGGGGCCTCAGCATAGTACAATGCCATAGAGTCTACCCTCCAAAGCAGCCATTTTCTCCAGGGGAGCTGATCTCTGTCAGCTGGAGATCAGTTGTAAAAGCAGGAGATCCCCAGGCCCCATCTGGAGGCTGGTAACCCTATTACATCCAAGCTAGAAAACTGTGCCTTCAAACTGTGCTTGAAATTGTGGAGAACAGGTGTCTTTATCAGTTTAGATGTAACAGCAGCAGCAAACCTGAAGGAGAAGGGAGGGTGAAGAGGTAGTGAATGGAATGGAAGCTCAGACATGGAATACCAAGCCATGGTTGCATGTGAACCCTTAGTTAGGCATTTCTTTCTCTTTATCTGTTAGCAAAGCTTTTCAGTTATGTTATTTAATTCAGAACTTTCAAAACAGAAGAAAAACTGTTTGTTAATGGATTAACAATGAGATATATCAGGCATACAAATATACTAAAGACAGTTTTATTGCATTAAAGTAGTTTACTTGGGCTTAGACTGGAAGAACTCTGGAATGACTTGATCTCAATGGGCTTAGACTGAAATAATTCTGCATACCATTTTTACTGTTAGTGTAATATGATTAACACACTACTCATTTTTTGTGGATTGCCATACCTTATAACAAGCACTACTTTCTCAAGAATCTAGAATTGGGTAAAATGAAATGCTGGGCGGGCAAAAACTTACTAAACCCGACTCCAAAGACGTGCAAGGGGCCTCAAGTTCACTCACTGTATCAATCGTAGCAGGGAGGTCACGGCGGAGCGCCAAGACTTTCTCTGCAAAATAGCTCGCAAGTGCCTCACAGCTGATGTCCAATTCCCTCACATTTTGCCTGCCCTGTGGCAGAGTTGTCAATGACCGAATCGTACTAAATAATTGTGCCGGGCGTGAGCTAGCAGATGCAATCCTGGCCGCGAAGAACTCCATCTTCGCGGCCTTGACTGCCATCTCATAGATACAATGCCACAAACTTGCATTGCAGCATTTGTTGACCCAAGGGTACAGCACTAGAAATAAGCATTTTGCCTGGAGTGGGGACCAGCCTACAGGAAAGGGGGACAGAAAGATGACACAGACACATGTGCTGGGGAGAATCAGGCCACAACTTTATTGATTACAGGTTCCTCAGGTCTTTGTACAGCATAGGTTGGGGACAGTGGGTGCTGAAAGCTCAACAACTGTCAGCACCTTCCCCAACCCTGCCCTCTCCAGGCACAAATGATGCCCTAGCTCATGGCCAGAGCTATACTTAGAGCAACTGGCAACAGTCCCATCATCAGCTCTGGCATGGAGCTCTGCATAAAGTCTTGATATGGGACAGAAATTCGTAGTAAAGTGATGTGGTGGCAATAGAACAGAATATTATTTCAGGCAACTTACAAAGTTCACTCACTGTGCAAATCTAAGCATTTATTCCATTCAGTAACTTCAGTGGATTTTGAGCATAGCTCTGCTTAGGATCGTCCTATTTATCTAACAACTTATACTGTTTTGAGAGTTGTAACCAAGATAGGTCTTTCAGACTGCGCTTCTATTTGGGATACACACTGAAGCCCACAATGGGCTTGCACTGCAACAACTCTGCATAGGATTGCACTGTTAGTGTAATATGATTACCCTGCTCTCTTTGCTTTCTTTGCTAAGCATGGGACAGGTTTGTCTTGTAACTTTGTTTGTTTGTTTGGCAGTCCTTCATTCAGATACACAAGCAAGAGAACTTCTAGATTTAGATGCTTCCTCTGTAATTCTGGAAAATGGAATTACCAAATTGAACACCATAGGCCATTATGAGGTAAGAACAAAGATACTAAGAATGTTATTTCTAACAAAAATCTTGCATGTGAAAGAATGCTAGACAGGCACAAATTAGAAGTCTCAATGCGTAGATGAGACAATGTTGTAGGGAGGAAGAGTTTAAGTTTGTTAGGCACTGGGATGCTTTTTGGAACAAGCAGGACCTGTACAAAAGAGACGGCCTCCACTTGTCTCATGAAGGAACCAGGCTGTTGACACTTAAAATAAAAAACGTGGCAGAGCAGTTTTTAAACTAAATCTTGGGGGAACCTGACAGGACATGAAATGTCTCTAGTTCGGGATGGCTCATCTCTAAGAGATGAAGAAGAAGCTGTTACTGTTTTAGAGGGAAATGGATTAGGACTGGCCACTGAGAGGGTGACAAACAATATTGACTGTCTGGCAAGGTAAGTCCAAGCACATTTCATTTTAATAGCACCCCAAAATCACACATTCTGGGCACTACCTGATCTGGAAATGAACCCAAAATGGTTCTGATGTCACAAAATATGGATGCCAGCAAACACAGGACAGAGACACTGCTGGGCACCGATTCTGGAAGGTGTAAAGTCATGGGTTTGTCGTCCACTAACTACCCCCGACCCAACCTTGAAACCATGCACAATGGCAATAATGGGTCTCCAGTTAAAAAACCATTGTTTTACTTAAACTAATTATTTCCCTACCTGGCCTGACCTTCCCTGACCTATTTACCATAATTATGAAACCACTTAACACCTTTCAGTCATCCCCAGCAGCTTCCCCTTCCAACAACAAAGGGTCATCAAGCATTAGCTACATTCATGCAAAATATCACGAGTTTTCCCAGGTCTTTGTCTAGTCCTGGGAACACTGTTCAGTCTTTCTCTGTTAAGTACGAGACTCAACACAGCTAGTGAACAGTGAATCAGCTTTATTAACGAAGTCAGAAGAAATCAGAACGAGACAAAAACATAGAGCAACAGGCTCTCTTTTAAACAGTCTGGGCTTGGGTAGCCACGCCCACAAGTAAGACATTAACCAGTCATAATTTACAGATAAGGTCCAATCAGAGTGCTTCCCTCCAGAACATTGTGCAGCTCTGATTGGTCTATTTACAATCCTGGTTCAGACTCAAGCTTAACATAGGTTTCAATACACAACATTCTCCAACACATTGTTTTACCTCTAGTGACTGACCTTACATCAATCCCTGGAAGATTCCCGGGGCCACATTCACTCCAAACTGGAGTCGGTTCACCCTGAACGCTCCCCTGTGGGTGACAATGGTCTGTGCCTCAGCCGCCTCCCTCGTCACCGGCAGCTGTTGGTAGGCTTGGGCAAGGTCGAACTTAGCAAACACTTTCCCCCCTCCCAGGGACGCCAGGACGTGGCTGATGACTGGGACCGGGTAGGAATGTTGCTGCAAGGCACGGTTGATGGTGCACTTATAGTCAGCGCATAGCCGTATGGAGCCGTCTGACTTGACGGGCGTGACTATAGGAGTTTCCCACTTGCTGAATGGGACTGGCTCCAACACTCCCTGGGCAATGAGCTTGTCTAGCTCGGCTTCGATTCGTGGCCTAAGTGGAATAGGCACCTTCCGGTATTTCAACCGGATTGGGGGTACAGAAGGATCAAGCTCAAACGACACCGGGGGGCCCTTGTACCTTCCCAGACCACCCCCGAACACATCAGGAAAATCATTGTACAATACAGACCATTTATTCGCCAGCACAGCATTAACCCCAGTAATGCCTATACCAAGTGGTTCAAACCACTCCAATCCGAGTAAGTTCACTCGGTTCCCTTCAGCAATCAAGCAAGACAGCTCAGCACACTTGCCCTTAAATTCCACCCAAAAGGTATCCCTCCCCGCCAGAGGAATGCGCCTCCCCTGAAAATCGGACACCTGGGTATCTGCGGCCTTTAAACGCCGCCGGCTTCTGGTCGGAAACATCCGCTGCCACGCTTGTGACGACAGGACGGTCACTGAAGATCCGGAGTCGACCTCCATCGTGCAGGGAACTCCGTCGAGGCTGACG